GCATGCCTTGAATCAGAATATACCGCCAGATTTGAATAGCGGGATAAATCTGGTGCATTTTGATATATAATTTAATGGCGCTTGCGCCGACTGTGGCATGACAAAATGACTTCGAAAGTACTCTATCTTCCCTGCTTTCTTTCTGCTTGGTGCATGACGCTACGGTGTCTGCGATAGGAGATCACTTTGAAGGTGAAAATGGCGATTTCAACGCAAATTTCAGCTGGGTTTGTGCTTCGTATACTTACCAAATCAACAAGTAATTAAAATTTATTTTAATATGTAATTATATTTTGAGGCGGTCAATCACTAAAATTTCTGAAATTGAATAATTCTTGTATTTATTCTTGCAGCTATTTAATTGATACCACCTCAAAGGAGAAGGAAAAAACCGGGAAATCTGCTACTGAAATTATGGAGAAAATTTTAAAGGAATCGGGCATCAAGGGAGTCGTTGTAAATAGCCGAATAATTAATGCCTCGAGGAAAAAAAATTGGCTTCCATGAAATTTGATTCCATGAAAACGGAAGGGAGGTGCGAGCGTCGGAAGGCTGCTTGAGCACTGGAAATAAAATAGGCCTTCACGGTGTACTATCGAGAGTTAGACAGAGCCTCAAGCCTCTTCACTGCAAGAGAATAAGGAGGTTAGGGGGCAGAAAAGAGTCCTTGAGGAGAATGCTTTCAATAAAGTGGCAAAAAGGCTCAGAGTAGAGGAAAAACTCCAGCAAGCTCTTGCCAAATCAGAAAAGTCCACTGGTTTTTACGAGAACAAATTTAAGGATTTGGCCAGATAGGTTGCCAGGATGAATTTAAGAGGCCCACAATATAATGAGAACTTCAGTGAATATACACAAAGGCACCATTCTAGAATTAAGACACAATTTAAAGATAAATGCTATTCAACACTCTCTTTTATTGGAGAGGGAGGGAGGGAGAGGTAGGGTCTGTGGCTGGACGAGCTTTATTGGTACACATGAAATGGCCGGTTCTTCCCCACTGTGCCTGTAGCAACGGCTTCACAGGGCTCCCTGTTCCCACAGAGATTGCTATAGGTGCGACCGAGTACCCGGCCGTATAACATGGACGATAGGCAGACGGGCTAACATTAGCCTCGGTTGGTAGCCGGTCTAGGAGAAGCAAAACCCCGAACATAAACACCCTCCTTGTGTTACAGCCCCCGTTCACGGACAGTGATTACTGTCTCCATTCGAATTTGACGGTTATCTCAAACATGGTCTGAGGTATATTTGTGTCGCTCATTTGAGTCTACTGTATTTACCCGTTTTAACGAAACATTGAGATATTTCTTCAGAATTTATGCCTTTTTCTATCGTTAGTATAACCGTTTGTTGCTTCTCCCTTATCGTCATTTGCTTTTCTCCCGCCAGCGCATCAACTAGTTTAAAGACGTCTTTAAAATTCAGCAGACATCAGTTCAACCTTTAAAATCATTTTGTAAATCATCTCTATTATGAATCTGTAGGCCAACAAGGGCTGCTGGATGTGATTATAGCACATTGACTTAATATCACTGGCTACTATAGATGGATTAGTGTGTATTTTGAAAATGACATCAGGGGATGTATATGAAATCGATCCACGCTACTTAAGTAGTTGTGATAATAAGGCCTAAAAAAAAATACAAGCAAGGAGGTTGAGGTAACGTTACTCACTAAGAATACTGCTCTCTTCCATTCAGAGTATGAACTCATTAGACTTTATAAATACTCATCCTCTGCAATAAACGTTACAATTCCTAATAATCACTATTGAAAGAAAACCGTTCTAGAAACGAGTACTTGCTCATCTCGTTCATAATTTTTGCCTTCTGTTTTGAAGTCCACGCGACTGCATGTCTTGTCAACGACGGCTTAGCGTACAATAGTTTTGAGGCCGACTCGACAAAGTCAGCATAACAAGTTACTTCTAGAAAATTGCACAAGGTTTGCAAAATTTTCCGGGGCTTGGAAAAT